GCAAGATTTTGTGCAAAATCTTGCCAATGTAGACACAGCCCAAGAGAGTTAATTTCACATATTTAACATGTAGCTAAGCCAAATTTTTCAACTTCAATTCCCAATGTTAGGCCCCTCAATCTATGTTTGGGGAGCAAAATAAGTGCAAGTTTATTTCTACAGTTGTTACAGCTCCTTAATTATATTAACAACCATTGAGAGTGTTCAGCCGTTTTCAATTAGGTAAAATTGCCTAAACAGCAATTTTGCATTGTAGTTTATGACGAAAAATTACAAAAAAGAAGAAAAGGACAGGAAAAATATTTTAAAAATCACAAGTTCATAGTTAGATGCAAATCGACATATGTCTGTATGGATTCCACATACAATTTCAAAACTTCAGTGTATAAGGATATTGTTAAGTCATTTCGCAAGTGTTAAGAACTAGAACTGTAATATAACCTGGTCACTGTATAGCAGAGGGTCATGTGAATGTTTTCTTCATCTTCGATTCATATGAGTTTCCATCATCTGAACTACACGATTTGCTTGAAAGGTCTGCTAGCCATTCCACTGAGATATGGTGAGTTTCCCATTAGTAATCAAAACTACACCAACTACTGAAGGCACTGTTGGTTGGGTTCGGAAACAACCTGTGCAGCTCTTGCAAATAAATATATATTGTGTTCATAATGAAACCCAGAAAATATTAAATGTTTGCTACCGGATGGGGACGGACGGACGGGGACACACACACACACACACACACACACACACACACACACACACACACACCTACACCTCGTCTGGCTATGCCTTCACTACCAAAAAGGTAAATTTTTTTACAATGAGATAACTATCCTAGTGGAGACAATGAACTATTATCTTAATGTAACAAGTCAAGGTAAAGCTTAGATGGGGAATACAGGGTGAACACAACTGACAATATCCAGGCAAAAACTACATGTGCTTTGTCTTCAAAGAGATTTTACATTCAGAGTTAACTCAGATTCTCTCGCTCATTGTAAAATCATACCCCTCTCCTTTTTTTTTTTTTTTTTTTTTTTGCAGCAAACACATTTAGGCTATGCCTACACTATCACTTATGTCAGCAAAACCTATGTCACTCAGGAATGTGGAAAAAAAAAACATCCCTGAGTGACGTAAGTTTTGGGGGCATAAGCAGTAGTGTGCATAGAGCTATGTCAGCTGGAGAGTTTCTCCCACTGACATAACTACTGCTGTGTGCTGAGGTGTTCTTTTTAAAAATGTTGATAGGAGTGTTCTCCCCCATTGGTACACAGTGGCTAAACAAGAGACCTTACAGTGGCGCAACTGCACAGGTACAGCTGTACCTGAGGTAAGTTCACTAGTGTAGACATGATCTTATTTAAAGTCAAAGGCCAGTGACAATTTTTTCTTGGTCTTGCAAAAGTACCTACTCCTTGCAAAGAATATGCTCACAGAAGGAATTGCAAAATCACTTCTGTAAAATACAGGTTGTACCTCCCTTAACCAGGACTCTGGTCTGGCAAGACCACAGATGTTCCTGGACCACAGAGCCCAGGTATAGGGAGGTTGAGCCACAGGGCAGGAGGGGCTGGTGACTCATCTGGGAGAGGGGCTGGACGTGGAGGAGCAGGCAGTGCAACAGGAAGTCCTAGGCTCTCCAGCCATGGAGTGCGGGGCGGGGGGTAGGGAGGGAGGCAGGCAGCGGCTGCAGCTCTGGAGCTCCAGCCCTGGAGCACGGGGGCTGCCACCAGCAGCGATGAAGCTCTGGCCGTGGACCTTGGGGGCCAGCCTGGGGAGCCATGGCCAGGCAAGCAGAATCAGGGACGGTATAGAGCTCTAGCCGAGGGCAGCATAGGCCATGTTGGGAGGGACCTTCCCTGGTCCAGCAAATCCCCTTGTTCAGGGCCAGTCAGGACCCAAGGGTGCAGGTTGAGGGAGGTCCAACCTGTACTATTAATTAAGCATATTTCATCCGTTTCACTTGTGACTTGTTATTTTTCCACACCAGTTTAATCTATTGCAGTTGTGTTCTCATGTCATGAACTTGCACACCTCTGGTCCTCTAAACTTAAAACAAATTTCTCTGCAGTGATGAGAAACACAAATGCACAATTCAGCCACATCCATAAAAAACAGTACACACAACAATGGATGCCTTGAAAGGAAAATAACCCCAGGCCCAAATTATCATAGTTAACTGACTGTTCTTTGGTCACAAGACCATCAGCAGCTGAAAGACAGAAGGTGATGAATAAAGAGAGACTATTCCAAGGGTGAAAAACAGCCATAGCAAAGAAGTGGACTAAAGATAATCATATAACTCTCCTGCCATATCACAAGGCATCTAGGACAATGAGTGAACCTCCAAATTCACAGTGTGGAAAGGCGTTTTTCAAAATTCGAGTGCTGGGATGTGTTGTGCAAACGCTTGGAGGGAGGGAGCCTTAAGTCCTTTGTACATGGTGACTCACCTTGTAACATGTGACCCATCACCACAAAGCAGGACAGATTAGCACCAACCAGAAGTGGCTTCTTCATCATCAACATCAGCAGCAGTCTGGGGTGAGCTGTGCAAC